CTTCTTAATGATCGACTCTGTACTCAATTGTTCGATAATGCGAAAAGTCTTGCACACCATACCTTTAGCGACCATGATTGCAAGAATAAAGCGTTCACATCCTAGGTCCTTGGTCTTGAAATACTCCGTAATTTCAGCATTCACGTCAGCAATGGTGGTCTTGTCCTTAGCCGTGATCGACATATCATTGACTTAAAGACGCACGATTCACTCGTCGTCACGTTCACCACCTCATGTATTATGCCTTTCTGCCAAAAACGCCCTCAGTTTTATGGTCCTACGTAGGAGTGTTGCCCTTACGGAAGACCTTCTATCTGATCGTGTGCTTCCGACTAAAATTTAGTCTAACCCTTCGACGAAAAAAAGACGTTGCCAATCAAAGAAAAGGGGTATTGCTTTACATACTCGCGAACAAATTGTTGCACTTCAATCGGCCATTTAGATGACCGCTAATTCTTTGGGGTGTCGTCGACATTTCCTGTTGTCTTGAAGAGATGGTACAATCTCCGAAGGCTTCTGGGCGAGACGCCCAGTACACCGGCAACTACGCTGATCTCAATATTGTAGACATACTGCAAGACAATGCCACGCCAGCGTATGTCTGATGAGTAGCCCATATTTGATTTAAAATCAATCTGTTGTGGATACCTTACGTAAGGGTAAATGGCCGGCAAATACTGGCCATTCAGCCCTTAATTTGTTAAAAGGTACCCTTTAGACCAAATCGGAGCTCTTACGTAGGACCTCCACAATCAAGTATTATTGGATCATAGTCGGCAAAATCAAACAGTGTTATTGGTCAAATATCATTTTATTTAGTGGCCTGGCTTAGCAATTCAACTCCTGTTCGTCCTCAAATCCCACCTTTAGCCCTACCCACCCTTGCTTAGGACCAGCCTTTAAAGGTCAGATTGGCCAAAACTTTGGAAAGGCACAATATATGCACTGTACAACACTGGATTTGAAACGACACCGATATCCTAAAAGCGCCTTTATCAGTACGGTATACATGTACTGGATCTTTTTGACGCGTGTTGTATACTGCAGGAATATGTTTGAAACAACATTCAATGATATTTGTATTAACACTGGGAACTGCAGTTCGCCCAATGAGGTGGATACGGTGGGTTTAAAAGTAGTTTTATCCACAGTAAGCTTCCAGCCTAATCTTAATCCATACATTCGAAAGCAATCCCTGACCATCCTAAACTAATAAGCCACAGAGTGGGACTTAGAAATAAATGATACCCCTATTAAAAATACAATGTCTCTGCGAATGCTTTTGCATTTCACTCACTTCATAGTACCGTTAATAGCCGAATGGAACATTCGGACTGTCGAAACGTGGTGTGCACTTTGTTGCGGATCTGTGTGTTTTTATTGTATATCTCAAATCTTGTATCGAGCTAGCTTGTTTTATATTGTTTTACTGTAGCTGTTTAAAGTGTACCTTACGTAACTTGTTATTGTTACAAAATATTGTTGTTTGCCATTCAAAACATTAGTCGACGACGATGCAATTCAAACATAAAGGCAGCTATCACGATCATGCCTTGATACCTGTTTATGGACCTCCCCTTTATCCGAAGGTTGAACGTTGGAGTTTGGTGTTCGATCATGTGATTGTTCAGGCTGTACAGCACAGCACATTAGTCAGGAGTACGATCATAGTACCCTTCGGATATCATAATTCTTTCTTAAATAAAAAATGAATTATGAATAATTAGTTTCGATTTGTGGTTTCATTGTTCAACACGCGACAGTGTGACCGACACCAGCTGTATAAAAGTATCTGATCCGGACAGGATCATCCGGTCCAGACTGATCCGAGGCAAGAAAAGTCATTTACGATTCGTCTTATCTTAGAGAGGTGTGCACGTTACTTCAGTTCATTGGCACCCGTCTATTAGTAGGTATAAGTGTCTGAAAGGTTTCTACCGTTTGCCTATCCTTGAGCTATGCTAATAGAAATGATTTTTTTTTCTCGACTAAAGCAGTAGGTACCTCTAGACTCTATTAGCGTATGGTCAGGTTCAGACTGTTCCGAGCATTATTTACAGTGCCACCTTGGCACAAGAAACTTTTATTTTGGTCAACCAAAGACCAAAACGCCTTCACAACGGTTCCATCCTCACGAGGTGCCAGTATTTTTCCAATCAATCCGTGTGGCTGTAGCGTGTACGTACGGTGAGTAGGCCGACGTCATGCACAATCTTGTGATGTTTGATGGATTCACACGCTCCAACTTGGCAACAACTTGGACAGTGGCTACACAGTCTTGTTGGTTCACATGCCTGTCTTTCAAAGAAAAAGCATTCCCAGAGGCTACTCCGCGTACGCTGCTGCTGACCTCGTGACAACGATCGAGCAACACTGTCCAACTGTAGCTCGTCTAATTCAAAACAGAATCATATGTTGTACAGACAACTTGTTTTGTTGGATACAGCCTTACCAGAATGTGCCTTTTCCCAAACGCGCCACTCCAATCCTTTCATAGCTTTATCGCCCAACTGAAACGCGTCGCTCTCGTCTTCAACCTCTCATCGACCTCCACATAGCTCTCAAGTGAGAGAATCGCAGTTCTCGAGAGCACTTCCGCCGTGTGTGCTTGTAGGTCAATGCGTGTGTGCAGCGCAGCTGCCTTGGCGAAGGACAGGTAAGAGGAAGACTTGCAGTGCTTGGAACGAGTTAAAATCAATACTGAATTGATGTTGAGTATGTGTTGTTGTGTAGGGGGAAGCGTCGATCTCCCTCACCATTATGATCAATATTTCAAATCATCCCCAAACAAACTATCATATGCGGTGACATCATGCGCTTCAAAGCACCTGGAATATTATAACCTGTAATATTTGGTTATTCTGTATATCCTTGATACAGAATACGGTGCTACTTGTACTAGGCTAAACAGGCTAACATCCAGATTGTATCGTACGGCAATGCAGATAAAAACTGGTGTAGTCTCGTTCTTGGTAATATTACGCCACCCAAAGCCTGGCTATCGTTTTGCGAGTGATTGAAATCCCAATGAGATTTTCTATGCTGCTCTTGAAATTACCTTACTAAGTGCATCTTACAGTTTTACATGTCTGTCTATATAATTGTGGCATTTCTCAATATAGCAACGAGAGGTGTGAGATGCCAAAAATGGAAAGTGTACTCTTTGGAGACCAGGCTTATATTGATGCGGACGACCTCGCTGTCTAGGCGTCCAGAGCTTCTGGTTGGACCTTCAATTTCTACTCCATTGCGAACTCGTAGAGGATGGCTGGGCTGGGCTGCAGCCCTAAAGCGAGCTTGGTTATCCACGCAGGTGAGCCACCGTGGGCAGTATTCAATCGAGCGTGTACTAGCGCTGCACGAGTATACCCGCTCTACGTCAAGGACTCGAGCTCTTATTGTATGTGTAGGGACACCACTCCCGACTATAATAATGGTACTCGTTCAAGAATCTGTGCCACTACAGGATCCAGCGGACGGTTGGCGTGTAAACTCTGGGATATGGATTCGTGGGGCCATTGTGAGCGGGGTAGTAGCACACACGATTGTTTTTCAACTGAAACACCTAGTGGATGGGGTCACGATATCAACCAAGCAACTTGGCCTCATCGTAGCTGTCGTAATGGCAGTTTACACCATCATTGCGGTAGCTATTGCTGCCAACGTATTTTTCCCGATTCCTTTCATGACTATTACGATGACCCTGCCTTTCTTGGCCCTCGTCGGGGGCTCCTTTCGACTTTTCGTCGGTAGTCAAACAGTTCATGAAATACTGAAACAACGAGAGCGGTTGGCACATTTCACCCTCTATCTTGCAGCGCAGACGCTGATGTCAGTGACGTATCCAGCGTATCAAGTTCTTTTTCAAGCTGCAGCCGACGCAGGGTATGAGTTAACCGTCGTCGCTCTGCTTCCTATCGTGAAACTTGTGATGAGGAATATCATAGCGTTGTCTTTATCTCGCATGGACGATATGATGCCCGAAGCTGTCGTCTTCTCGGTCGATTTCTTCAACGCGTTCTATATCATAACTAGCATGCAGAACGCTTCATCTTCGGCAACTGTAGCCATTATTATGGTTGCAGATCTTATTCACACAGTCGTGGCTTGGAAAAGTCTCCGACGACGAGCATCCAGCATTATTAGGGAGTCCCGGGCTGGTGGTGTCGACCTAAAGCTGCCGGACATACTTGACGTTGCTTCCTTTCTTCTTCGAACTCATAAATCGGAGAGTAAAAGCTTTGCTCATGTTCAGATTCGATCATGTATGACCCATCAGTTGTCTCTCGAAAATCGAATTTTACTTGATGATCTCACCAAGGCGACAAAGCACCATCAGTTTCCGATGATCAGGTCGCTGGAACACGTTGGACGTGGTTCAGATAACCCACGGTGGTCTTGTGTGTGGAGACGAACGAATGTCGTACAAGTACAACCCATCATTGTGAAGACAAACGAACAACTCAGGCCAGAAGCCAAAGACGAAAGCCAGCGCCTCGACGGGGCCTTGAAGGTCCTTTTCACAGCAGAATGCCTGGTCCTTTCGGAATATCTGGAGACGTTTGTTCCAGTCTTATACACGATCTACATTATGGTCATGGTCCACCTGACCAGCGCGAAATATCACACTGAGCTGTCTGGTGTTACTGTTGACACTATTGGCAGCAAAATTCAAGGAATTCTAGCCTATGGACTACTGGAATTACTCTCGTTTGTAGCTCTAGTAGCACTGATGCGACGTGGCTGTGGCGTGCGAAGTCTCCATCACCTCGCATTTGTGTTAGAGACACATATGCCGCACATCCAAGATAAGCTGCTGGCATGGGCGTTGCTCACACTTGGATCTCGCGTTGTGCACTTCGGTACGTGCAACGTTATAAACCTGGTTCTTAGCCTTGCATTGTTAACCTATAAAACCATAATGCGTGGCAGGGGTCGACTTTTCCTTCAAATTTGACTGGGTTTAACGCCATCAATTACGACAACTATGAGTATTCACGCCGTTTCCAACGTTACTT